GCAGCAGGGACACTCACAGAAGCTAAGGCACACGGATAGGACCCAACGCATTAGCTTCAGATGGCTCCAGGAGCAATTCGTGAATAGGCAGTTCGAGTTAATCAATGTTGACACTACCCTCCAAGCTGCAGACATCTTGACCAAGGCGTTTGACAGCACCCCAGTGTGGCACCATGCACTTGAGCTGATCGGTATCTCCCCCAATCGCCAGGCGCGAGCCTGTGCCACCAGTTTGCTGCTCTCCCCGTGCGCCAAGGCCGGAGAAGTTAGTGATCAGGGGGGGCAGATCGCCGCGCTATGCAACGCTCAGCCCAAGCGCCTCCTTATTGAGTTCTGTTGTTCGACGACCTCACGGTTGGGCGAATCAAGAGACTCTTCAAAGGGATGTCGTGTCATTCGGGTAACTGAAACCGAAGACGGGTGCTCTGATACATGCAGGCAGTGGTTAGTCCATGAAATTGCCGAATTTAGGAGCAAGAATCCTAAGGGTGCAATAATGTTCTACGTTTCATTGCCTTGCACTGGAGGATGCCCGTGGGGTTATGTCAACCAGCAAACTCCCAAAGGTGCAGCCAAGATTGAGGGTCACATCAAGCAATTCCGATCACTGCTGAGAGGGTTCAAACGCATTCTCAATGATGTCTATTCTGATGACGTTAGAGTTGCCTTCGAACTTCCCAAGGCGTGTCGTTATTGGAAATGGCCCGAACTATGGAGTTTCTTGACTAAGTACAAGATGAACAAGTACGAATTCCATGGTTGCAAAATCGGCATTAAAGGGAGAAATGAAAAACCTATGAAAAAGCAGTGGGTCGTTGCCAGTAATATGCCCACTATTTCCGTTGTTGAGTACTTCAAGTGTGATGGTTCTCACGAGCATGATGAAAGCCGTGGTAAGCATTTGAAGGAAGCCGAGGGATACACGTATGTTTACACCGATGCCGTTCACAATGCATTTTCTGAACATGCCACCATGCAGCCGTTGCTTTCGAGTGATTGTGCTGCATCTTCTTCGCAATGAGCAGCGCGACGGCTATGGCGCATCCCGCGAGGGATTGCGATCCGGCATGGAGGAGATGGATGGAGAATGTCGCTACCACTTCGGTATGCACGAACGGCAAATACGACGCTAACCTCGCCGCCACGGTCAAGGGCCTCCTCGAGACGACCTCTGCACAGTCGCTTATTCATACATGGGTGCAGGACCAACCGCACTACCTGCAATTGCTTACACCCCTGTTAACCATAAGCGAACCGTACTTGAAAGTTTTGCAGGCCCCACGTGTACCAGACCGCGACCTCCTTATCTATGTGACTGTCGCTGATTCAGGACTGTCCATGGTTTCGGGCAAGAAGCGCAAGCTTCGCAAGTACGACTTTGCGGAGCGTTTGGATGCCTCTCGCCCGGCGCGTGTCGGTGCATGGAGGTCTGAAATGCTTTGGGGCAAGGGCTTACAACAGCTGTGCAAGCGGTTGGCCGCCCTCATCGACGAGGTGCGTACCGACTACCCAGCAGCCACCATCATTCCGATGATTTACTGGAATGGCAACGAGCTCGTTGGGAAGGACGGCCTCGAGCCCACTGGTACATATCCTTACGACACCCCCATCGGAGACGCCGAGCAACTTCTCGCTGACACCAGACGGCACCTGGCTTGGACCAGGGATTTCGCGGCCCGCAAGGGCTGCGCATGCCTTGGAGTCATGACCGGCGCGAAGAGCTACCTCTACGGCTTCTCTATGATTTGGGACCGTTTCATGACGGAAGTCCGGGATTACATCATCGGCGACCCCAACAATATGTTTGTATATGTTGATGCTACACCCTTCGTCGAGACCATCGATTTGCTGGACAGGTATCATATGTGCTTCAGCGACGACAATATCACGAAGACCGTCCAGTTTATGCGCGGAACCCATCATATGTTGTACATGCTTTCCATCTTGCGCCCCGCAATGGGCAGCGTAGCCGAGCTGACACGTTCGCATGATTGCACAATGCGTCCGATCGATGTGCTCGAGGTGCGCCACCAAGAGGATTGCACAGTCAACGTTGAGGTTCTCGCGTACTGCAAGGAAACGCTAACGAAGTGCGGCGTTTCATTGTCAGAGATGATCGGGCTCCCTTTCACCCGTGAAGAAGTGGAGTTCCGGCAGCCCCTCGATTTTGCCCCTGTCGATCCAGCCGAATTTGCAACTTCAGGTGAGCCTTCCGGTGCTGATGTTTCCGAAAGTGTTCGCCCGGCGCAAGCCGGTGCAAAGGCGGCTGCGGTGGCACAGAGGGACGAGGCGACGAGCAGGCCGGTACCACTCGACTCCTACGGGAGGAACGTGACTGGGGGCCACTACGATTGCTGGGTTTATAGCATCCATGACGGCGTGAAGTATGTTGACTATGGTGAGGGCCCCAAGCGACTTGAGATCATCAAGCAGCCTTCTTTTGATTACGACCCTTCCGTCAGGAGAATCAGCAATGAGTACCACAGCTCCCTGACGTGCATCTCGAAGATCCTCCGTGGTCGAGGGACAGAAGGATGTGGGTACGTGATGGATGAGGACGGCTACATGGACCTTGAAGATTTGGGACTCGCGCTTCGCAAGGAGCTGCGACATCCCATTCCATGGAATATTCAGAAGCATCATGGACATCTTCAAGCTCGACAAAAAGCAGAGGTTCATTGCGCTTGGTTGCCCGGACGCAAGCCGGTGCGGAGACGTCCCCTGTTCTCATTGGATTTTCAAGATCAAGGCCTCCCAAGGCCATGAGGACTGGCTCCAAATTGACGACTCCGGCATCGCGAAGGAGTGGTACGTGAACCCGGGGACGACCTCGGGCGCTGGTCTGGCTGGAACGTCTGCAGCAACCCTCCTACGGTGCTCTATCATCGCACCGATAAGCGGAACTTCGCCAACATTATGCGAAACGGACTGCTTCCAGGAGGAGGTGACCAGCACGAGACAGGCAGACCTCACGTTTTCTTCGCTGACATTCCGAGCACGAACGAAAATTACATCTCAGGTGTACGCGCTAACAAGCCCTTGGAAATACAGATCGACCTCAGGATGGCCATTCGCGCAGGGCTTTGCTTTTTCAAGACAGAGAGCGATGGCGTCCTCACGCGCGACAAGGTGCCCAACTACACGATTATTTCTGTATTGGACGCTACAAATGGCGATGTATGGTACACTCGCTCCGAGCAATCGGATGCAGGTGCACCAGCTGAGGCGACTGAGGATGAACCCCAGGGGATGAAGCGCGACCAAGCCGTGGTTGATGATCGGTCCACAGCACTGGAGCGCATTGCTACAACCCGCACCAATGTGGCGTCTCCTCGCGCCCCGCAAGGGGAAGCGAAGAGACAGAAGACTTTCAATCCAATGGAGAACGTTGAGCTGAATGTCGCCACGTGCCCGGTTTGCAACAACAGTGTGTTCGAGGGGCAGGTCCACTGCACATCATGTGGGCAGTTGTCACCCCTCAATCCTCGCCTGTTGAAAGAGCAGCAAAAGAATTACCTTGTGCAGCGTTCCAATTTGCTGAAGAAGATGGGCCTCAGCACCCATGTCACAGCCCAGGTTTTGGCATCCGTGGGAACTTTTGACCTCCGCGAGGAGGATCGGAGTAGCATCCTTCGTGGCCTGAACTCCCCGGACAGTGCTGTCATTCAGGAGGCCCGGAAGAAGCACAAGTCCGCCCTGAAGAACGGCTACCACTCTCTACTTGATCGCTATGAACTCGACCTTCAATACAGGGTTCGTATGCTTGAAGTGGGCCGTCGGGATGCGGATATACTCCGCATGGAGTTGTGTGCAAACCTCGTCTTGGCTGCTCCAAAGCAGTCGCAAGCCCAGCGCACTCTTGGAGTTGGCCTTGGATCAACTTCTGAGTCGCGAATCGCAAGGCTCGCGTACATAAAGACGGAGGTGGAGTTTTTGCCCAGCGAATTGCAGGATGCACTCAGTTCCCGTTGGATCATCATGTTTCAGGGAATGCCATACAGTCCACGGGCTTTTGTGAATGTTGTCTCCGAGCAGGACAAGCCTCGCAGCATTGGATGTTGGAATGGCATCATCCATTTGCGAAGCAATTCCCTCGAGGACCTCCGCCACGAAATGGACTGGATATTCAGCCAGAACGAGCGATATGCCCGAAACTCAGTTGAGTTTTCAAAGAACGAGAGCACCAAGCACCTCGCTCGCAATGCCGCTCGCTATGCCGATCAAAGTGCTCCCGCCGCCCGCGAGGGTGAGCATTGGAGCCAAGGCAGCTGGCAGAACTGGTCCGGTTGGGGAGGATGGAATGACAGCAGCGGTTACCAATCTACTTGGCAGTGGCGCTAAAAGCGCAACTGTCATGGTTTGCATGTATACAACGGTTCCCCATGACCTTCTCCCTCTGTTGTGTTTCTGTTTGGCTGCTTTGTGAAAGGCCCCTTTAACACGCAGAGGGGGGTGAAGAATTTGATCGGTCAGTTTGGGGTTTTACATCCATTGCATGTGAAAATGTGCGAGCAGCGCACTTGGACGGTTTGTTGTTTCCTTTTGGGCCCCAAACCGGTAACCCTTGAATCTATACAATGGAGAACCCAAAGCGACCAATTCCTCATCCCTCGAAAAAGCAGTCCATTTCGAGGCCCCATCAATCGGGACCTTTGGGGTACAAACCCAGCAATTCTTTTGTCGACCAATTCCTCATCCCTCACAAAAACAACCGGGTCCCTAAAAATCGGGTCCCTTGGGGTAGACTGAAGCCCAGTATTTGGTTCATTACCCGCTTCCCTTAGAATAATTCTTTTCTGGGTAGGGTATAAACCCGGCAATTGGTTCATTACCCACCAAAGGGGAGCCGATTCCCTTGGCCAAGAACAACTCTCTTTTGCTTTTTCTGCTTAAATCCAGCAATTGGTTCATTACCCGCTTTTGTTCGAACAATTATTTTCTCGCATCCGAAAAAGTCAGAGCTCTCCCCAGCCCCGAAAAACCCGCCGGGACCGGCGCAGGCTTCCGCGGCGCTCGGCGCGCAGCGGGAGAAGCGGGGCCTTCAGGCCGCGAAGCGGGCGCAGGCGGCATTCGGCCGACCGCTTGGCCGATTTGAGGGTTGCTCAAAGAAACGGGAGACTGCTGTGTAAACTTCCATTATCTTCCATTTTCTGACATGCTGTTTTTTGTCGGTTTGTTTTTGCTTAAAGAACATATTCATTTATTTACTTATTATTTGTTTATTATTTTAATTGTCGTGGCTTTAAAGTGATTCTATCACTACTGGACGTATTTTTTTCGGGGGGCTTAAGCAAATGGAAGTACCAAAAGTGGGCATCGACAGAGTGGTTTCAACGTGGGTCTGGTCACTAGTTTTGAGTGTACCCTGTTTGGGGTTGGTTTTAGGGAAGCCAAAAGCAAGCCAACCATGGTTTGGTGTCCTGTTTTTTTCAGACCCCAAAACTTGGGTGGTCAAAACTTGGGTGCCTCTCAAAAAGGGGCCCCATGGTTTCCTTCGGGCGATCCCTTTTTTCAAGCAACCCTTTGCTTTGTGGTTTGGATTGGTGGAATTGGATTTGAACCCCTGGTTCTCAAGGAGGGTTTGACTGGGCACCCTAAAAGACCACCAAAGCAACAGGCTCCAAGCCACCCCTTTAAGGGGCGGCTGATTTAAAATCACCTGCCAAAACGTGCCCTCTTTTGCGCGGCTTCTGGGTAGTGGCTCCGCAAGGTGGTTTTCCGTTTGGTTCTCCTTCAACTCCAAACCGCGGGAGCTCTTTGTTTTTTTGGCGGAACTCGCCAGTTCCTACCCAACATGGGTGTTTTTTTTGTTTTACATCAAAACAGTGTTTCTCAGAACAAGCGGTTTTTGATTGAGGGTACTCATTTGGGGCCCCACCTTTTTATGACAGACCCAGATAGTGATTCCCGAATAGTTAGGGGACCGACAGAAATGGAACACCTGCCCACCAACAGACCACTCAAGGACGGAATGTTGGCTGGTATGAAGCAAGTTTTTGGATTCATCAGCTATAAGGGTGGCTTCCATACTTGTGGAAACCCTTCGCCAAGAAACCGACGCAACATGGGATTCCCATGGATGTCGCCCGTCTTGAAGTTGTAATGTCATGCTGACCCCATACTAATCAACCAACAGTTTATTAATAGGGCGGTGGGGGTCCCTCAAAGCGGTCTGATTCCCAACATTTCAGAAATGGACACCCCCCTATTCATGAGCTGGTTGGTTGATTCATATGAATGGGGTCTGGTTGACCCCATAAACCATCCAGGTGGTTTCCTTTACGGGGACCACCAGGAACCACAAGGAACCCACCCATTCCTTGGTTCCATGTGTGACCGGAGGCCGATGCGGAGCAGCTTGAACGTGCGCAGCGTGTGTGGAGTTGCCAGCGCCTTCGCAAAACTTGCGCTTGCTGTTGTCACTGTTGTCTGTTTTCCGCTGCTTGCTTTCTTGCTTGCTGGCTTGCTTGCTTGCTTGCTTTGCCTTGCCTTGCCTTGCCTTGCCTTGCCTTGCCTTGCCTTGCCTTGCCTTGCCTTGCCTTGCCTTGCCTTGCCTTGCCTTGCCTGCCTGCCTGCCTGCTTGCTTGCTTGCTTGCTTGCTTGCTTGCTTGCTTGCTTGCTTGCTTGTATTTTGTTTCCATATTTGCTTGCTTGTGTGCTTACTTGCTTGCTTGTGTGCATACTTGCTTGCTTGTGTATCTGTTCGGTTTGGTGGTTTGTTTTGGTGTGGCGTGGTCTGTTTGGTTGCTTGCTTGTTTGCTTGCTGCTTGCGGGCTGGCTGGCTGGTTTGTTTGTTTGTTTGGGAGAGCGACGCAGGTGAGCTGATGTGAGGTGCGGTCTTTGCGTTGACACAACCTGGAAGTAGGACTCGCCCTCAAACTAAGTCTTACGATAGTCTTACGCTTGGATCCTTTCTTAGCATGGGGAGCATCAGCCTTCCCAAAAGACCGCCACATGTGCCACGGTCATCCCCTGGTAGCTCATAGATTGGACATGGGAATGTGCCGAACTAGGCACCCCTTGCAAATTCCAACGCTTGTTTGGCCCCTTCAAGCCCTTCTGAATACCAAATGAGCCTTAGCATGGGTGTCCTTTTCAGGTTAGTTTTATTAAACATAGATGGCGCTTCCATTTACCAGGGCCATCTAGGTTTCTCCAACTCGTTAAAAAAAAAAAAAAAAAAAAAAAAAACGATTTACTTGTGGCCTTCGAGCACCAAAAGTATTGGTCCGAACTCCATTCTGAAACACCTGAAGTCCAGGGGTAGGCGTTCTATGCGGAACTGGAGTCGATATCACAACGAGGTGTCAATTTGTCAATTTGGAAACACGATGGTACAGGCTTCAGTTTCGTGCTAATCTAGTAACTAGTACCATCTATTTGTTCAACAGGCGTACTGTTGGTTTAGGGAGGACATTGAGACAGCCCAAATTTCCCACAAACAGCCAATGCCGTCTTGGGAAAACTTAGGGTGGCTGCAAGCTGCTTGCTGTGTAAGAGACTACAGCGCGCTTGGTTTCGAAGATCTCCTAAGTCGGCCGATGTTGGGGAGCTTGAAACAGGGAAGCCTGTCAAATGCGCGCGCCGAAAATTGGTGAACCCCTTGTGTTCCAGTTAGTTTGCGTGCTGAGCGAATGGCATCGAGCTTAAAAGCACAGGACCGGATATGAATAGGGATTCGGACCGTGGCGGCTTTCGCGTTTTCCACTAAGTTTCCTTACAACCAACCAGCAAAGGCAGCCCTGAAAAACAACCACCCACCCACCTCACGCACGCGTCGTTCCGCACACACCACCCATGTGGTCGTTTCTGAGGAACTGCAGCTTCATGAACAGCGCTCTCAGCAGCACTTGTGCCATTTGCGACTTCGGGTGGACTGGGCAGAGGGAGTGCCCCTCCGACAAATGGGCCTGCACCGCCTCCACAGGAGCAGTGCGCGTCTACCGCGTTGTTCCCACGGTTGGTTCCTTTTGATGTTCCTTTAAACGCCACCAAAAGGGGGGTTCCCCCCTACACTTGCCGAAAGATTCGCGGTTGATGCAGGCATTGACAGGTGACACTTGACCTTGATTTATTTTGGCGAGGCCTACATTTCAAAATAGAAAGTCACTTCTTTTTTGTTTCGCTCAGCAGCAAGTTTGGCATCGCGCAAGGGGGTCAAAGACCAGCCATGTCGAGATTGACATAGATGTTCCAGTCCATCCCCTCTCGCAAGAAATTGTAGTGCACAAGTTTCTTTGGGTCATATCCGCTCAACATATCCAGTCTAGGCCATTTTCTTTGGGCATGAAACCCGCGAAGCTTGAATCACAAAAGCCAGAGCGAGCCGTGCTCAGATGAGTTTACGGCCGCCGCCCCGAATCCTGTTGAGAAGTTTCCGCATCACTCGGACAGTCGCCCAGTCCCTGCAAATACCGGCCATGGGGAGATATGTTTGAAATTGTATGTGTGTCATGCTGAAGTTGTTTTGATCGACTTGCGGATGGGGCGTGCGTGATCAAGTGACAGAAAACATGTACCAGCTTGCTTGAGCCAACTCAGCTCACGATGTTTACCACGTCGCTATCTGTGCTTGTGATATCATCTCGTTTAAGTTTGGTATGTTAGTTATATCTTTATAATCGACATAAAATGCTTGTTGTTGAATAGGGCTTGCGTTTGTTGCGTGATCCATGCACCTGTTTGCAGTTTGCATCATTGCGCGGAGTGTGTTCACATATGTATATACGCTTGTGTGTGGTGTCTTTGCTGCTTTTGTTCTTCTAAGCTCCTTGAGCTTTGTGTGCGTGTGTGCACGCTTGTGTGCCCCGCCCGCCTGCGTGAGTGGGCGGGCGGGTGCGTGCAATTGTGCAGTGCGTGTGTGTGTGTGTGTGTGTGTGTGTGTGTGTGTGTGGGTGCGTGCGTGCGTGCGTGCGTGCGTGCGTGCGTGCGTGCGTGCGCGCGCGCGTGCGTGCGTGCGTGCGTGCGTGCGTGCGTGCGTGCGTGCGTGCGTGCGTGCGTGCGTGCGTGCGTGGTGCCTCTGTGCCTGTGTGTGTGTGTGTGTCTGTGTGTCTGTGTGTCTGTGTGTCTGTGTGTGTGTGTGTGTTTGTGTTAATGTCGAAGGCAACGTTTTGAGCTTCTGATTATGTGTTGGCTGTCCTTCACATGCAGTTGTTGCCGATTGCGCTTGAGTGTCTGTGTTTGTATGCGTGCGTGCTTGTGTTATGTGTGTGTTTGTGTTTGCGTGTTTGTGCATTCGGTGCATGGTTATTGTGGACCGTGGTCTCCTTTTGAGATTGTGTTAAGGGGAAACTAAAAGGGCCCTAATTTTCAGAAACGCTTTTGTGTGATTGTAGTATAGGTGTGACCCTTTTTTTGGCGGGACCCCCAATTGTGGTTTTCCTTCTGTCTTCCATTTAACGTCCAAACAGGTAACCTCCAAAACAAGGATGAGCCCATATGAGCCACAATCAAAACCCGGGTAATTGGAGGGTAGTAAGGGACAATCCCGGCAATAAATAGCTGCGGATATGCGCCTTCTTGATTCTTGAAGCATGGTTCTGGGATTACGACTATTTTTGTACCGATCGGTTTTGATTATGACATATGAGAGCAGGCATTTACCATACCAGGAGGCTGCACCTTCTTCAACCCCAAGTCCCTCTTCTACTGCGAGGACTGGACATACACCCAGGGATGGTTCATTACCCCCAAAGAGGAACTGGTTCCATTTGTTTTGGTCTATCTTGGGGTATATAGTCCAAAAATGGGTAGCCCTGTTTCCACGAATCTTGAGGAAAAAAACAAAGGACATGATCCGCAGAAAGTAGTTGTCCTTTTGGCAACCCCAAAATTGACCATTGGGCCGCGAATCTTCAGGAAAAAATGGATAAATGATCCGCAGAAAGTAGTTGTCCTTTTGGCAACCCCAAAATTGAGGAATTGGGCCGAAATTGCACCAACACCAACACTCTACTGCTATTGGGCGTATTGTGTTGGATCTTTAGACTTTAAGTTTTTGGATTCCCCTCATATTTCCTTTTAACTAGCAAAAAGTTTAGCTTTCTGCTGGGGGATCTATAGCACCCAAGAACAAAATCATCGCAATACCAATTGAAGCGGTGTCAAGTAGCGGCACGCCTCAGCCGAGAGCCAAGATGTTCAGATGTCTCACTGGTCCAACGCGAATCAACCTTTTGACCTGTTGACCTTTTGGCTTCCCCTTTTTTGGTCAATGTTTCGTGGCCCCAAAAGGTGGTCACCTTCTGCAGTGATGGTTTAAACCAAAAGGTCAAATATTGGTTCCCCCTTGTTTGGTCATTTTTTTAGTGGCCCAAAAAGGTAGTCACACCTTGTGTTTCGGGTCCCCTTTGGGGGCAAATAAGGAACTCCAAGAACATTCTGCAGTGACGGTGTGTCAAGGTCACAAGCCAACTTGCGGCTTCAAACATGCGCAGCTTCCAGCAACTGGTGGTTGCGGTTGCTATGGGCCCGAGTGCTGGTTTTAGCATCTCTTCTAAGGTTGTATCGCCCAACATTGAGCAGTATTGCCCAATTCGAAAGGCGTCGTTCTAAATACCCGTATGGCCAATGCCACAGTAGTGTTCACATTTCCCAAGTACTCCCTTCCGCAGATGACAGGTGACCCCAGAAACAAAGGGACTCGTTTTCTTTTTGTTCGAAATGGAGCTCCACAAATCTGGTCATGGGTGTCTCTTTTTTTAGGGGACCCCCAAAATGGCAACTTTCCTTGTGGTTTCCCTTTAAGTACCAACTCAAACAAAGACGAGCAACCCAAATCTCTCCACTTTGATTTTCCTTTCGGGTCAGGTCTGCGGCCGAGGGCGCCCGGATTTGGCCAGCATGGCATTCTGAGCGTTGGAAAATCGCACCCAAAGCTCCAGTTGGCGCATATCGCTTTGATCTTTTTTGAGCCACGTCCTCAAAACCGCTTCCGGTTGAAGGTGAGTAAGGGATAATACCGTTTAATTGGGTGCGGATAGTCGCCTCTTTTTGTGTCTTTACATGTACAGATCGGTTTTTATTTTGACTCACGTTGGCTCTGAAAGAGGCCTTGAAGTACATCGTGAAAGCTGAAACCCTTGATTAGAATCATTTATAGTTTTGCCGAAGTGGGGCTTCTCCTTTTCAGCTTTAAGTACTATATAAGAAACAAGGTGGCCTGTGTTTTTATTCATGCCTACTAGGGTTTCGGGTGGCCACTGTATGTGATACCTGTGAAGGCAACCCAATGATGCAACCTGGAACCTGACGATTTGTGGGAAATCAAGTTGTTGACAACTTTGTTCTGTGATTGGTGTATCCTCATGGGAAAAGCAGGATGTTCTGCGATTGGCGTATCCTCATGGGGTAATTAATCAAGATGTTCTGTGATTGGTGTATCCTGGATGTTCTGCGATTGGTGCAATTATCCTCATGGGTATCAGAGCAAGGGGCCATTTTCCGCAGCGGAGCGGTTAGCAAGTTAGTGGTCGAGGCCCCCAAATAGCGGAGGTTATTTCGAATGCGCCGTGCGAAAGGACAGACGGGCAAAGGGCAAAAGGGCGGCAAAGGGCAGGAACAGTTGCACCTAGCAAAGATGCATGCAAGAGCTTTGTGTGTGTGTGTGTGCGTCTCCGAACACACATATTAGTACACAACACAATTGCGAAAGATGAAGAGCGCACACGCGCTACTAGGTTGCAGAAGCACTCAAGCGCAAACACATTGTCTGCATTCGCTTGCGTTGTTGACTGGTCCGTTCTGCCACACATTGGAGTTGTGAAAGAGCACCTTTTCAGTCAGATGAAGCAGGCGCAATGTAACATATGTGAGTGGCCTTGCAAGAAGGCATGCCTCAGCAAGAAGTCGAGCCAGATTCAAGGCAGCATGATGGGAGTGGCGCTTGTAAAGAACGTTGCCGGTTTTTGCTGGAAGCTTGGGGTGGTTTTAAAAGGGAAACCCAAAGGACACCAGGTATTTTGAGGGGTCTGCTTCGTGACAGACCGAGCAGTATGCAATCAATGCACTGACTTTGGGGCGCTGAACCTGCAAATCCACCAATAAACCAAGCTTCATTCACACTTTTGAACTATTCACAGAGAGATGCACGGTTTTGGACACTGACGGACACACATTCTCAAGCAACATCTAAACTGCTACCTACTGCCACGCACAGACACACAGACACACAGACACACACACGCAGACACGCAGACACGCAGACACGCAGACCCGCAGACACGCAGACACGCAGACACGCAGACACGCAGACACGCAGACACGCAGACACGCAGACACGCAGACACGCAGACACGCAGACACGCAGACACGCACACACACACACACACACACACACACACACACACACACACACACACACACACACACACACACACACACACACACACACACACACACACACACACACACACACACACACACACACACACACACACACACACCACCCACCCACCCATGCACGCACGCACGCACGCACGCACGCACGCACGCACGCACGCACGCACGCACAGACATTGGGTGTTGCGTGGGGTTGTGGGACCTGCAACAAGGGTTGGGGAGCTGGCTGCCAGCGTGGTGCCTGTGCGGAGCCCGTTCAGAACGAGAAGGTTGTCCACGGCCACGGCATGGAACCGTCAACGAACAGAACACGCCCTTATGTGGTTTGTGATGGGGCTTCCAATTTCGGAAGCAGCCCCCCCTCTGCACAATTGGGCAGATGATTGCGACCTCACGGGAGATTTGCACCCATTGGACGCGAAAGTTCTTTGCATGGGGTTCCCAAAATTTAAAGTCATTAAATCAATTTTAGTACTGTGGATGGACAAAATCCTGCACCACGTTGAGCCATGGGAAACAATTCTTAATTATATTTGCATTCCAAGGATTTTTAGAGGTGCAAATTTCGTCCATTCGCAGTATGTCACCCAGTCACATACGGCTTTGGAAACGAACAGGGGAGAACCGTGCAACCTACTGCCACCCAAAAGTAGATGTTGTCCATGATCCAGAGGTAGCTTCGATGACCTTCCATGCCAGGTTCACTGTTGCTATGGATGTACTTTTGTTTTTGTGTTTTCTTTGGGCCTGCAAAGGACAGCGATTTGTGCGGTGCCAAAGGTTGGGAAGTTCCGGTGAGGGCAACCATCGGTGGGGGTGAGCCATTTGCTCAGTTCGAGCCTAAGCCCAGCAAGACGCAGCGACGCAGCCCAAAGGCAATCCGTTGCCAAATGTGTTGAACAGCAGCCAGTCATCACATGGCAACTAGCCTAGCAGCTGATTCTTGAACCATGTCCAATGTGTTGGTCAAACAGCCAAGCCAGCAGCTATGAACTGCAGCTAGTCACTACATTAGCCCAGCAGCTAGGCCTAAGCTCCAGATGCATCTTCGAGCCTCAGCCTTACGAAAACCTCACTACTCCGATGGCTTTCTTCCGAAGCTGAGCTTCCAGCCATGGGCGTGCGGATCCCAGAGCGCCCTGCGGCAAGGAGTGCAAGGAGTGCATGTCGCAGTCATCCGCAGTACACAGACGCGCACACATGTGTACAGATATTTGTATATACACATACACGGAGAAGTACATATGGAGACACGCGCATGTGTATTTGCAATACTGTCGTAAACGCGGAAAACCCCATAGCCACGGCAAGCCCGAGTTCCAGTTGTGGCAATGTTCAACCAGTTGGTTTGCCTACAATGTTTGTCCATTGCTCAATGGCGGGAGGAAGATACAGCAACTGAAGCTATCAGAGCCCCTGGATTCGTTAGCGCAGGACATGGAAATAGCAGAATCCTAATGGGATGACAATTGGTCCGTTGTTTGGCCTAAGCTTGTTGCTTTTTTCAGACGGCCCTTATAGTGGGAGGACAATCTCAGGAGAATTTCCATGATTCACAGGTCCAAAAGTGTTCCGAGGCCATCAGCGATTCGCCATGTTTGTGTCTGTGGTTAGCCAATTGGGGTCTTCCACCCCTAATATAACAAGATTAACCCACATTCACATTCACAGGAGACTTATAAGTGGGTTATGACCGAAAGGCTACTAACAACTTACTAACTTGGCCGAACACCCAAGTATATAGGGATGTCGCTTGTCGCTTGCACGGGAAAAAGCAGCTTGTTGGAGCCCGGGCGCTGGCAGGGGCCACATGTCTGATCAATCTTCCCTTTGGCCCCCAGGTTTGACCAATGGGTTACTTTTCCCATGTGGTGATTTTGTCAAATCTTGTTCGGTGGTTTCCCCTTCTGGTCACCCCCATGTTGTATGGAGCTTTTGGATCAAGCCCAATATGAGCCACAATCAAAACCCGGGTAGATGAAGGTTAGTAAGGGCCAATCCCAGCCATAAAGAGCTGCCGATATCCCGGATATCCGGCTTCTTAATTCTTGAAGCATGGTTCTGGGTTCACCATTTTACTAGTTTAATACCGGGTTTTGATTGTGGCTCATATGGAGCTTGATCCAAAGCTCCGTACGTTACATGGGGGTGACCAGAAGGGGAAACCACCGAACAAGATTTGACAAAATCGGCACATGGGAAAAGTGACCCATTGGTCAGCTCTCAGTCTCGAGGCCGCGGCATCACTGTCCTTGGGCGAAGCCATTGGCATCGTCCAACAGCACCTCGGCGTTAGGCCCGCGGTGTGAGCCCGGGGCCCTCTTGACTTGAGCCACTGAAAAGCCAAAGCGCCCCTTTGAGGTACCCAAGGGTTTCCATGACCCTTTAAAAATGGTTGGTCATTGCCCTAAGTAATGGGGTCATGGACCTATTTTTATTTCGGTCAGAAGGAGACTCCATGTATCCCTAGGAGCCCCAGACCCGTGCGATTTGAGGCCTTTGCAGGTTCAAGGCCCTCATACTTCAGGGTCTGCTTGGGTATTGAGAGGTTTTGATTGTGGCTCGGGTTTGCCCGTGTAACTTGTTAAAGGGTTTGCGGGGCTTTAAACTAAAAAGGACAGATGAACACCACCCCACCTTCGAGGCTTTCCTGTTGAGAGACAACAGCTACGAACCCAGGGCCAGTTGCGTGGAACACCTTTTGAGACCTGGTCGTCCTGGAAAGGCAGAAAGTGCATGGCTTGGAAACGCATGCGGTGTGGGCAACCCTTTTTGATCCTATTAGGAGTTAAGCGCCACCTTCTCATGATGAGATCAGTCTCCTTTAGGTAGGGCGATGGTAAGGGGACACAGCAGGACCGGACCAAAGCTGGCGTCCCGTGTCTTTTTTCTTCTTCTCGCGGGGAGCCTCGTGGCAAGAACGACCAACAACCAAGCCTTGTGAGAGCAAGCCCCCTGGACCTGACAGTTGGAAATGTCTTATTCAGACTAGCACAGGAGACCTGATTAAGCCCACTCAGGCTTCATTTCGGCCAGTCCTTCAGGATAAGCCCCAGTTCGTAGCTTCTGAATGGTTCCCCCTATTTTCCGAAACGCAGATGGGGCCAAGAGGCGATGGTTGCAAACAAAACGGGACATATAGGGTCGGGAATCCCTTTCGAAGTTGGACAGATCCGATCGATCCGCTCAGATGGCACTCCTACAACCGGGATGAGTTGTGGTCCAAGCGAGGCTACGACATCGGCTTGCAGAGCATGAGGCCGGATTATCGAAGAGTCGTCGATCTCGGCACGGGCTCAAGGCTTTTTGTTGCCAAGCCAAGCTGCATGGCCAACCAAAATCCATACAAGAGCTTGCTTAGTGCACACGGGATCAGATGGCGGGATGCATCCCGGACGTAAAAACACAACAACAAAAGCTGGCCGGTTTATGTCAAGCCGCCTTGAACGTGTGACACGTCTTTCTATGATCTAACATCTCGATCTCCATGCATTATGGTTTCAAAAGAAAACCCCGGAACTCAAGTTTTTTGTGCGCGTCAGAAGGTTTGTGGCAGTGACTGTTACGTGGAATCTACAAGCGCATCACGTCCTTTTCGATCCGAGCCAGTGCTGGATCAGTAGACCCGGGGATTCTGGCTTGACGAGTCCAAGTTGCTTCGGAAATTGGAGAAAAGGCATCTATATGCCGTGAATTTCAATAGGGAACCCCCTGAAAAGTGGTTGGTGGACACAAATCCCCACCTAAACGATGTCCACCAAAGGTCCCTTAATTAAGAATCATACCTATATCAAGAGGGAAGGCCCTCATGCGTTTCGGGTAGAAGCCATCGCGGGTCCAGCGCGAAACCGTAGCTACACCGGTCGAAACGCTACCATTGAAATTGAGGCGTTTCAGTTGCAGTCGTGAGTGAGACACCCACCACCTTGACCCTCAAATTTCCCTTGAACATGGGTCATTGCAACTCAAAGTCAAATTATGCATGGGTGAATTCCCGTTTTTGGGTGGTTTGAGGATCCATGTCTAGACAATGATTTAATTTGTTTGTTTCTCTCGGCCGCCTGGCGTCATTGGAAGTCATTGGGCGGTTTGCGCATGGACCACAAAAGCCCCCCCAAAATAGCTTGGAACACCAGGCGGCAGGAGTTTGTCCTCTCTAAGGACCTGAGCTTTGGTGCATTTTACCAAGGGATGTTACCTGAGGCCCCTAAAATGTTCTTTTTTCAGCACCAAGAAGGCAAAACGATCATTTTCCTGAAAATCGATCAAATTCAACAGTTTTTGGGGCAGCATGTAGGACTTTGACTTAACTTCCGGTAACGAATGGGCTTTCGATGAAACCACGAAAAGTGAGTGACTCTCTTAGCGGAGCAGATTTCGCAACCGAGATTAGTCAGGTTCCAGATTGCTGGGTAGCGCGCAAGCGCGTGCTTCTCCGGTCTGAACACTCTTCACGCACACTTTGGCGCCAACAAAGCCAAAGGCACGCGTGGTTGGACCTCACACATCGATCATTGCACCGGTTGGTAGATATTTTTTTGGACGCAGGGGGTGGTTTCTCAAGAAAGCCACTGATGAGGAACCCAACAGCTGGGTACCTAGGCCTTTGGTGTCAAAAGCGCTTTTAAATGCTTTTAAGCAATGGACAAACATTCCGAACCCTCTTTTGCTCCTTGTTCTCGTCGCGGCCTCAGGCTCAAAGGTGAAATTGTTTTCCAGGTCCACTGGGCAAAGGTGTCCTTTTTGGTTGATTTGGTTGAAACATAGGTCGGGCGATCCCTGGTTTGTGGTTCAATCAACCAGGGCCATCTATTTTCAACCAAAAAGGCCACCTATGATCCTTTAGGAAACTGAGAAGACGCAGCTGCTCGCTGCTCGCCCGGCATACGGCACCAGCTTTTCCGACTCCTCGGCTCGCGAGGATCGACATCCTCAACACGGTGCGGGAGGAGATGCGGGATCAGGCGCAAAGCTGGGCGTGTTCGTGTTTTGGAGGCTTGGTACCTCTTAAAAGGAGTGGTTTCAGAAGGGAAACCGACAATATGCAAACTGGGGGGGAGGGAGCGGAGGGGGTTTGGGCTCCTCCCCTCTCCCCCTCCCCTAACAATTGGAAGTCTTCGCCATTCTTCGGTGTCCAAATCCTATGTTAAGACAGCATCACGGGTCGGGCCTCACAAAGCCTGTAAGCAACATAACCGCCTCGTGAGAGAGCGCCTCGGGTCCATGCAACGGGATTCCCATGGAGCACGTGTTTGGCCCCATGTGGTTTCATCGTTCAAATGTGGTCTCCTCATCGATGACTTCCTTCAGAGCAGTCTGATCGTGACTTCCTTCCGCCTATGGGATGCTTCATGAAGGGCTGTATTGGTTTGGCCTTTGGAGGCAAAGTGATGCCATGGATGGGCGGTTTGATCAAACGCAGTTCCAAATCCAATGCTTCCAAGAATATGTGCTATTTTCCCTTGTTGGTTTTAACAGGAATCTATCACTACTGGACATATTTTCTATTTTCTTTCAGGGGGCGTATTCGCAAAGTGAAGAATGTTAGTGGGGCAGAAAACGGGCTGTGGCTCGCATATGGCCAGGGGTCAAAAGCCAAATCGTACCCCCCGTGAACATCCCAATCACCACTAAAATAGGTTCTAAAATGGGTGGTTCACCTACCCCAAATTGGAATCCCATTGGTTTTGACCCACAGCCACATATCAATGCCGCCGATTTGGCCGGTTGAGCCATTTGTTCCACCGCAGGTGACGGTGATCATCTCCAGCCTGGACAACCTGATGGTGGCCAGCGGCCGAGAGAAGACCACCTAGACGAGGTCCCCAGTAGTGCCCTTTTACCCTCTTTTGGGGGATCTAGCCTCTCTACTCGAGGACCTAGTAGAGTCTCCATGACCCTTTAAAAATAGGTCCATGACCCCATGATTTCGACTATGGAGACTCTAGGTACAGGGAAGTCCCCGAGAAGCGAGTGGATCTTTGGGTTTTCTGATGGTTTTCGACATGGGTGTGTCTCTTTTTGAGGCAGAAGGGGTGGAAGGAACATGTTTACAAGACCGACCGTGAGCTAATGCCAACAGCGATTCCCATTGCCAACGGGCGCGAAGGTTTCTCGCTCGCGTTGTCGCCCTGGGAGCGGCGCGAAAGATCGCAGAAAGCTCTACGTTGTTGGGCTCCACGCTTGTGGCCGAAGAGTCATTCCGAGCAAGACCAGCGTCTGGCTGGAGGACAATACTTGGGATTTTGGCTATGGGCAAAGCAGTTGTTGGGGGGTGCTGAGTCAATTATTGCGCTGTCAGCTGTTTCCCATGAACCCAAACTTGTTCAATCAGCGGATTTAATGCAACGCTCAGTAGGGTTGACGCCACAGCTCAACTTAGCTTCTGACGTGTTTTTTGTTAGCGCACAGCATTGCTTGTAGGATGGAAGCTGCGACTTTTGTGTACTTATGTACTGCCATGTACCTATACAAATAAATGATGGGCATATATGTATATATATATAGATATATGTATATATATATGGTACCCCCCCTGGAATACTCAATGTCAAGGGGGGGGGGGTAGCATATGTATATATATATATATATATGTATTACATAGAGCTGCATGCCTTTCCATGGTTGCGGATAGGAATGGTGGGAAGCGCGGAGGAACCCGGAAAGCCAAGTCAGTGCGTCTGCTGAGCTCGCTGTTCCGTAAGTTGTCATTCATCTCCAGCACCCCCCAACTGCCTTTTTCCATGTCCAAAATCCCATCCCCCCCCCCCCGAACGGTCGCCCAAAAGCAGTGGTTGCCATGGATCCGTGGCTGTCGATGTTAGGAATGAAGGCCTGGGATTCCTTCGACGCTGAGGTGGCGACGCTGATGCTGTCCATAGGCAGGGCATTGAGAGCCCATAGAATCCTCCAAGTGGTTGGCCGCCTATATGGCCATGGGTCAAAGGCCAAGCCGACGTTACCTATTGTTTTGTCCTAAGCCCAAACGTAGTGCGAAACCAAGGGTCGTCACCAATTTATGGTAAGCGGACACTTTTCATTCTTCAAGCCTTTTTTGCCAAAGCCGAGCTGATTTGTCCTCCAAGATGATCGCTGAAAGGAGAGCGCCCCAGTCACGGTCATCTCCCTGGTTCAAGGCAGAATAGAGCCATTCCGAATTCCTCGGAAACGAGCCATTCCTAGGAATGAAAAACATAAAAACGGAGCGACCTTGAACAATTCGAGAAACGCCTACGTCACTTCGGAGGCTTCGGCTTTGTGGTGGAGGGCACTTTCCCACCGGCAGAGAAGGACTACGAGTACGACGAGCTGCAGAGGCGAGGCGAATCGTGACGTGAAGACCTGACCCGGAGTTTCCGTGTACAACATCACCCATAGGATGTACCTAGAGTCTCCTTCTGACCCTTAAAAAATGGTTGGTCATTACCCTAAATCATGGGGTCATGAGGTCATGGACCTATTTGAAATTTCGGGTCAGAAGGAGACTCCAGGTGGGCCCGTATTTCCGGGCAGAATATGGTTTGCGAACAAAAGAGTCCTTTGAAACGGGACCAGACAGGACCCTAACCTTGGTGAGCCACAATCAAAACCGATTCGGGTAGATGAAGGTTAGTGAGGGACGATCCCAACCATAAAATAGCTGCGGAGATCCGCCTTCTTAATCCTTGAAGCATGGTTCTGGGATCAGGACCATTTTAGTACCGATCGGTTTTGAGCATGCGACTCGTTGGTGAATAAGGGTACCACTTTTTTCTGTAGTCCATTTTAGTAGGGGAACCCTCCCAACCAAAAAAGAAACGGTAAAAGTTGGCACCTAGCTGGGGGACCTAGGGAAAATACTTTCTCTCAAAGCCGTGGTCTGCTCGGTGCTCCAGAAAGCGAGCGGAAGGCCAAGCAGTTCATGGCCCCCCGAGTGCGCGATTGCAGGGCGCAGGAGCCACTCCAGAAGCAGAACAAGCCGACTTTAACCAAGCAGCTCTCATATGGTGCCAAAAGGGGTCCAAGCAAAATCCAAAGAACTCCCGCACCCACCCCACCCGCAAAAAAAAAGAGCATGACTTGGGCAATCTCGACCCGTGATTGATAAACCTTCCGCGTGTCCCAGAAACAGGATTCTGACCCCCAAGGGCTGCTTGCTCAACAAATTGCCAGGGATTCGTGCAAATGACCTGCACTGACTCAAAGGGAGCCTCGAAGGACCCTTCTGCTTGTTCGTGAAAACAATGCCTCCAGGGTTGGTGGTGTGTGGCAAACAGGCAGACCCTGGCCTATGCCGAAAAGAGTCGTTGTCTCAACAGCGTTGAACCATAGTTAACCGGATTCTCTTTTCTATGTCCCGCTTGAACATGACGCGGCTTTAATGTCGGCATATGATTAGTAAGCTCCCTCTAAGTCAAGACGCCAGGTTTCCCATCAGACTGCCAGCCAATACTACTTTAAAGACACTCACAAGTGTCTCTGAACAACTTTCTGGCACCTCTCCGCACCCCCTCTGATGAAAGACGCCCGGCACCCAGAAATCATCAAAGGCAGCAATACTGTGGATGGACGAAATCCTGCACCACTTGGAAACCATTCTTTGTTGGTCTTTACAGGAAAATCATCCTTCCAGGGTCTCTGAGGTGGTGCCAACTGGATTTCGTCCATCCACAGTAGCGGCAGCAGCAGCAACAGCAGTCTAAGGGTTTTTGTATTACACCCTGGGAATACACCCACTGGGTCTTGACCCCATTTAGGCACCATGTTCCGGATAATAATAATAAAAAAACGTGTGATTTTGTTTGCCATTCTGGCTCATTTGTGATAGGTGAGACACCCTTGGGTTGCAACAACTTTGAGGCTAGGTTCTCATCACTTCCCTTTATATGTGTCATTTTCCTCTGTTGGTGTTAAAGGGAATCAAATTCAATATGTTCTCATTCTTTCCAGGGGCGTTTTCCGCAAATGGAAGATCACGTTTGCCCCCGAATTGCTTTTTTTGCCACGCATCCCTGGCCTAAATTTTAGGCCTTTCCTGGTGATCTACGCAGTTCTGGCGGCTCTGTCACTGGCCTGGCCCTCGATGAGCCTCGATCTGTGGATCGGGGGGTCCGGCGAGGCGACAGAAGTGGAAGTGGCAAACGGGCTGAGGCTTGGTTCAAGCAGCCCGGTGTTTTGCAGGTGGGGTCAAAGGGCTGACTTTGTGGTTCTTTTCTTTTGCAAACAGCGGCAATGCTGCATCCTTGGTGTGGCATCCTCTTAAGATCCTCATCGTGTTTTGTGCTTGCTTGTGGGGTGGTGGGTGAAAGGGCTTAAGCTTGCTGGCGCAAGAAGTAGGGAATGTGGAGTTGAATGTACCCTTAAAGGAAGCCACCAGTTTTGGTTTTCAGAGATCCCGAGCACCAGCAACGCGCGAGCACCAACGCTCCCGCCTGCGTTTCGGGGTTCAGTGGAATGGATCCTTTCTCTTCTGCAGCTTGCTGGCAGCAAGCCCACTGCGCATTGCTCCCTTTAGACTCCCATGTCGACGTGCCTACTTTGACTGCCATTTGGTCACGAGGTCGCCTCACCTTTCTTCCCTTCCAGGTGCTGCTCCGCTTCACTTGAGTACTGCTTCGTTGACTGCACACCACTGCGCTTTTGCGAGCATCCGGTGCCCGCAGCCTTTGGCAAAGCAGACGAATGGGTTCCCAGGCTGAACGAAAGTCGGCAAGACGACTAAACTTCCATTTGGAGTCGTCAGGCCTTAACTACACTGCTATATGTTTTTTCTCTCCAAGAGCAGACACATGCCGTTGAATCAACCGGACTTGTTGCAAATTCATCAGACAGTTTTCCCCAGGCTTTTGCAGGCCTGTGAACCCGCTGCGGGCAAAGGTGAACATGAGTTTGTGGGCATTCAAGAGAGAGGCACCTAAAGCAACAGCTCGAACAAATCAGGGCACAGCCCTGACACAGCCATGCCCGTTTGCGGATCCCGTGCACTTGTCTTGAGAAGCTTCCGCATTTCCAGAAAACTACAGTTAACAGCAGGCCACCCCGTCTGTTTGGTCGCGTGTGTTCGGAAGCAACCTGTGGGTTTCCTTTAGGATGGCTGGTCTTTGATGTGACCTTAGACCCTGCAGCAAATGGCTTTTCTTTTAGACCTGCTCAAGGTGATGGACCTTTTGCTCGGGAAAATCTTTTCAAGCCGTTTCGGAAGCATCTGGATCAGAGGCAGCGAATGGCGAGCGCCTCAACCTTCCAGTTGCTTAGGAGTATTGGTTTTATTTTCCGCTCTTGGTTTTAAAGGGAATCCATCACTACTGGATTTTGTTTTCCAGGGGACTTCAGCAAATGGAGGTAACTGAAAGCGCGAGGTTTTCCCACTGGCCTGCCTGATGCTGACCATCGCCGCACGCTTCGAGGTGCTTCGAGAGATGTGAGTGAGGGACGAGCGCATCCGCGTAAACGACAAGCCAGACCAAAGGCAGCCCCCCTTTTTAGCTGCGCGCCTTTTCCACCCAAGGGCGGACAAATGTTCAGCTGCCTTTGATTATACTGCACAAGTCGTTCTGCTGCTTTTGAATATTTTGAATATCCATTCTTGGGGTAGATCCATGGTTTGAGAACAAGGTCAATGTTGCGAGATTGCTGAAGGACGGGATTCAGTCTGAACCGATCCAATTGTTCTAAGACCCAAGTGTTCCTTCAACGGAAAGTGGGAGCTTTTTGCAGTTTGATATACATTGGGAACGAAAGGATGTGGTTGATGCCAACATGTCGGTGCTTCTAAACATATGGGCATACATAGGGACTCCTTTTGGACAGATATTGACAATATTTACAGGTTGGGCATCCTGGGTTGCATGGGAGTGAACTGAGCCGGTGGTCAGCACAGCCCTGGTACGGCAAACCTCGCTTGCTTGCGGCCTACATTTTGATTCGGCGCTCATGGCAAGCCATCAAAAGTAAGCACGGAAGTTTGGTCACTATGGAAACCTTCCATTTGCTCAACAATATGTTTATTTTGCCCTGTTGGCTTTAAAGGGAACTTGTCACTCCTGGACATGTGTCATTTTTTCCAGGCGAAAAAAAACAAAAACAAAAAAGAAGCCGAAGCCCATGTGGGCGTGGGTCAAAATAAACAGCTGCTGTCACGCCGGTTTTAGTAACCACCTTTTCATTTGCGAGGGTTTCATTTTGGACCCCGATTTTTGAGCCACACTTTGGACCCCGATTTTTTGGACCCCGATTTTTTGGACCCCGGTTTTAGTCTTTCATTTTGGACCCCGATTCTTGAGCCACACCCATGTCGGACAGAAGTTGAGGAGTCGATCCCATGAAAACCGGCAGGTGGAGCTTTGTCAGCAGGACGTCATGGGCGATCTGCAGAAGCACCTCCTGAAGGCAAGGCTTGTGGGCGCTTGCCGCTTCCCGTCAAAAAGTCGTTGAAGCAGCTCGAAAACTTGGGTTGGGCACAAGTGATCACTGAATTCAAAGTGTCTACCAAGGGCTCTCCAATCTAAATCATACCCAAAATGGAGTCTTTGTTGCACGCGATTGGACAGCGTTTATTAGGTTTCGGGTGGATGCCGTTGAAAGGTGGATTGACAACATCCACGCCAGTTGCAGCAGATGGCGGATTGCATGGGCGGTCACTGATCTGTAACATGCATTGCGGTGGAATCCCAGTGGGACGCGGATTTCGCACACAGTAAACCAGAACAGCGGCTAAAGAAGAAGACAACATCCTCTCGTGATCATGACTTAGATTGCTTTCAAGTGCCCCGCCATATTTGGGTGTGTTTTTTTGGGGGGAACTCCCTTTCTTGGAGGTCCCCGTGCAGCTACTTGGATAAAAAGTGTGTGGAAGGGCCCGCCTCAAGGCTCTCGGACCTGGGAAGGATCTTGAATGTGGACATCCCTCAGTTGACGTAAAAGACACAATGCACGAAGCGAAAGAACACACCAACCAACTCCAGGTGCCGAGTCCAGGTGGACAATCAACACCTTCTCAACATCAGGCTCCCCTTAGTGGGTGGTCTGGGTTGGTGGTTTGAATCTGGATTTGAAACCCTGGTTTCTTGTAGAGAGTCAAGGTGAAGCTGCCCTCAACCACCAAAGAAGCATTGGCACCACTTGGAGGGAAGCTGATGTACCCTCCCGTGTGAGGTGCCTGGAGGAACGTCTTCCCTAAGGGCGTGAGCTATGAAGTCGCCAGGGTCTGCTGAAAAGGAGCCTTTGGCAGTTGAATGCACATCTATTCTTGAATCCCAAAATGGGCTTGGAGTCCCAATATGAATACCATCGTCATTGGTGTTGGAGTACATTCCGTGCATTGATGCATGTATGGTTAGGGTTCCGTTAGCAAC